TGTAGGCAGACACAGGAGCTCAAGCAAAATAAAAACGTGTTTATTTATAAACAAAACAAAAAAAAGCAGACGCGGGGGCAAAAAAACCTTACAGCTGAGAGAACACAGGGCAGCACGAGGAGGACCAAGATATACGGATGAATCCAACACAATGTAGCCTTGGTGGTGACCAGAGTCAGTTTAAACAGGACATGGGTTTTGTGTGTGTGTGTGTGTGTGTGTGGGGGGGGGGGGTGGAGTGTCAGCACCTGGATGATTACTAATAGGAAACAGGTGTAAGTGGTAACTGACTGAGGGGAACAATGAGAACTGATAAGGAAACACAGGGAGCTGAGCCACACCACAGTGAGCATCGCTCTGTGTCGTGTTCTGATGCTGACAGCTCTGGTCTTCTCCACAGATATGTTGCTGCTGTGGACCGGCCCCCTGTTCACTCTGCTGTGCCTTCTGTCCTCCGGTCAAATCATCCACCAGCACACGGGTCATGTACACGCTCTTCCACATCATGAGCTGTGCCGTCTCCTGCCTCATGCTGTCCCGCACCGTCTCCGAGCTCGTCAGGGAAAATGTGAGCACACCCACCACCGAACATCAGACAGTGTTTCTGGTTGTCTGTTTTTCTTTGTTGGTCAAATGTATCATGAAATGTTGGATATATTTCCATGAACCTCTCAGAAAGTGCATTTAGAGCTGATCAACCTTCAGAGTCAATCAAATTCAAGATGGTTGCCACAGCTAATCTGTATCAGTAATATAAATAATACCAGTTTAACAAATATTGAACTTAAATTGAGACGTGGTCGTAGTTGAGACTCTTCACAACTCTTCCTCCAAGTGATGACAGACTGTATGAAGTGACCTGAGACTGAAGTTGTTCATTATATTTATTTTATACATTCGATATTCAGATTTATAACAACGATGGCTGTGAGTTCATCTATTCTCCTCCTCTTCTTCTTCTTTCAGCTTTTCCCTCTTCAGGGTCTCCACAGCGAGTCATCCTCCTTCTCACTCCATCCTCTGCATCCTCTGTCCTCACTCTGTCCTCTGCATCCTCTATCCTCACTGTCTCTGTGTCCTTTGTCCTCACTCTGTCCTCTGCATTCTCTGTCCTCACTCTGTCCTC